AACATTCTGACATCCTACCTCTACCAGTACCAGAATTCAAACGACTATTACTCATTTGTACAAAAGATGTTCAGTTCCAGTTCAACGATATCAAATACAAACAAACCGACGGTGTAGCGATGGGAAGTCCGTTAGGTCCTGTCCTAGCAGATATTTTCATGGCTAACCTCGAAAAAACCAAACTCAAACGAGCGATTGATGAAATGACGTATTATTCGAGGTATGTTGATGATACCTTCATCGTATGTAATAATAAACAACATGCAACAAATCTGCTAGAGTTTTTCAACAAAACACATCCGAATATCCATTTCACTATGGAACATGAAAAAGAAAACAAGTTCCATTTTCTCGATATCGCGATGAAAAGAAGAAAAGATGGTACGATTCAACGTTCAGTTTATAAGAAAGACACATGGAATGGTAGTTATCTTAATTTCAATAGCTTTTGTCCAATCAGTTACAAAAAAGCACTGGTCAAAACACTGTTTCACAGAACAGAAAGAATTTGTACTTCCGATACACTAGAAGAGGAAGTTATGAATGTTAAAAAATGTTTAAAGAATAACGGATACCCACTGAAATTTATTGAAAAATACGGCAAATGTGAAGATAAAAAACCGAAAGAAATTACAGCAAATAAAAAGCCTATTTTTATTCAACTTCAATTCAAAGGTGACGACATCACAGGATTAATCAATATGAGACTAAAAACTGCACTGACGAGAACTTATCCTGCAGCAAAATTGATTGTCCTGTCTAAAACAACATGTTCTTTGACACAATCAAAGGTCGACAGGTATCCCTTTCATGTTACCACCAATTGTGTATACAAATTTACATGTACCTGCCAAAGCAGTTACATTGGTAGAACAGAAAGGAGAGCCTACGTCCGATTCAAAGAACATATTCCGAAAAGTTTACGGTTAAATGGATTAAACGCATTCAGCAGTGCTATCGCAAGACATCTCCTTGATACAGGACATGAAGTTGATATACTGAAGTCCTTCAAGGTGATCAACAAACAATCAAACTCTAACCTTTTGAAATTCGCTGAAGCGATAGCAATCAAACGTTTAAAACCAGATCTATGTATACAAAAAGAGACAGTAATAAATCTTTCTTTACCCTGGTAACAATAATCCCCACCCTTTCTATTCATTTACTCCTATTTATTTATTTATTACGTCATTCCCCATCTTCCAACTCTTTCTGAAGTTTAAATTACATCATACATAAATGATTGGTTTTAATTCATATTTTCTTTATTACTATTAATCTATTTTCATGAGTTCTAATCACTATTTCAATGTTCCAGAACTTTCCCTCTCTAACTTTATTTATTTATTCGAATCAAACATTTTATGAGCTCATTAACTCTATCTGAATATTTTCTACATCATCATACACATGTATTGATCCTTATTCACACTCTTATGTATAAATATGTCAATATCTGTAATAATGTTGAATTTCAAATAATTTAGGATGTAAGCAGCTGATGAGAACCTAACGAAATAAAATGAATTCATATTATTCTGCACCAATCTTTGTTCTTGCTCTATTTAAGATAATAAAGGGAACTATGTGTATGAAAAAACAAAAGAAATGGGCGAATCTTGTTAGCTCCTCAATTTGTGTATTCCATTAACTATCCGTGAACCTGAATGTACTACAACGTTATGACAATTGTAGGTATACTGAACCTGTTGTAAAATCCCAGATCAACGTACATACATACATTCGAGCACTGAGATTCACAATAAAGCACAGGATGTATGGACTAAATAGTATTTTACGATCGATGCTAACAGCTTGGATGTAAGCCCTAAGTGAGTTAACGTGCGTCACCCGATATGAAGCAAACACATTATTTCTAGATCGTTACACATATTATGAACAGAATCGTTCGTAGGACGCATTCACTTTGAAATGGAGTCTCAAATGATTGAGAACTAAACAACCCAGTGACATTGGAGGCCTTTAAATATGGTCTGTTTTTTCCCATCAACCTCGCCGTAATGGAAACAAACTTCTACCTCCGAGATACGAGAATTAAGTTGGAACGTCACTCGTATCCAACCAGACGGTAAATCTCACAACTATGAGAATTCCACTCATCGTTCATGGCGTAGATCTAGACACGTTTCGTTTCTTAATTACATTCACTCAGCCCATACAATTTTATACTGATATATATATATTAGTGCAACAAATCTCTCTAATTATTTGTTTAAAATTAAATCTACCTACCAACACCCTTAAAGGTAGTCATAACAAATGTTTAGAAATATAACACCTGGAATTCTATATGTACGTCCTCAAGTATAAGGCGTTCATATTAATACAGTTTAATAATCTTGCTAAAACTAATTAGTAGATGAGTAAAAAAAGTAACTTAGCATATTGTACGAGAAAGAATACAACTGGAAATAAAATAGAGTTTTATTTCGATAATTTGTGCTTTAGGTCGACGAAGTAAAAAACCCGGAACAGTTAACTTATCATCATTGTGTTTTTGCCCGCAAAGCAGCACGTTTCCCTGTCAGTGCTTGGAATCCGGAAGTCACTGTTTTTACGGTGAAACGAGATCCACATCGCCGACAGTGGAGGAAAAGAAGTCTTGAGTCTTTGCATAGATCTGTTTCAGAAGACTGGCAGGTACCACACAACACGTAAGTTCCTGAACAAAAAAGTAAATAGAAGCAAGAATATGTTATGAATAATAAAAAATGTAATTAGGGAAGATTTGATGACCGAATGCTATAGTAAAACATATCTCCTTAAAACGAAAACGTGAAGCTGACTGTAACGAACGATATGAATCAGTTCACCGAAAGTAATAACTGGCTACTTTGAGAACATTTTCAAAACACCAATAAATATTCATATTGTTAAGTTGGTAACTTGCATTGTGACTGCGTTAATCAATAGCATGTTTAGGTTTACTTGTTTTACCTATCTCAAAGTATACCCAGATACACACACTTCTAGACTTTCTTCATCTTGCTCACGACCCAGAGAGAATGCAGGCTTAGCGTCCTTATCAGGACGTAAAAGTACTTTGCGCCTAGAAGGTGCAGAGCACACGCCATTCGTACGAATATTGGTTGCCAACTAATTGAGTGTGGATTGTATGACTTGAGTATCATCGCGCAGTAAGACAATATCATCCGCATGCTAAGGGTTGAAAAGTCTTTCTCCAGGTTACAGATCAAAACCACCGTTACCTACGTGTATAAGAGCTGTTTCTAAAACGTTATCGATGGCTAAGTTGGAGAGGAATGTTTTGACTGGGCAACCCTGCCCAATAGAACATAGGAATGGATTTAGTTAACTGTTTAGTAATGAGGGACCGAAGATTATAGAAATTATTTTAGACAAGCTCGCACACATTTCAGTTATATACAGTCAAAGATTTACAAAGATCATAGGACCGAGTTTCTATAATTAACACGTACTTCTATTATTATCAATAAAAATAATGACATCAACTTTAAAAATTACAGATCATGACACTTACTACAGTAGTTTCTCAGCACAGGTTCCATATGTTTACTCGTATAACGTCCACGAATAAGTAAAGCACCGTTAGCATCCACTGAACCTTGAGTACCCAATTCAGTTAGTATGTATGTTGTGAGATGAGACTGATCTCTCATTAAAGAACGACAAATAGTTGAAAAATTTACAAAAAGAGTCTTTTTGGTCCCAACACGAGCCATTTGAGGAGGAACCATTACGAGCTTTCTTTTCTGATCTGATACAAGTTCAGGATTCAAATCACCAAGCTGAGCGAAAACTCGTGTTAACAGCTATTAGAATTTTTAAAAGAGCAGCAAAACATGCACCGATGAAATAATGATAGTTCATCTGCAAAAAGTCACAAAAGATTATTTTTAAACATGAGCGAAGATTATTTCATATTATCATAGCACTCTTCAATGTTCATAACGCACATAGCCGGGTATGGTTATATTTTAACGTAATATGTACATGAAAACCAGTCTGGAACGGTTAAGAACATTCGTACATAGAATCTGTATATGCGCAAATATTCATTTAAACAAGATCCGAACACCAAAGCTCTTTCCATTTCTAAACACTTACATCACAACATATAATAACTCTAAGGAAAATGCCCCAACTAGGGAGTTCTGGTGCAGCAAAGGGTATCTGATCATAAATGCAGTAATCTTCCACTTTATAGAGACCGCTTCGACTTCCGTCCATTAATCCCGGCATCAGGAAACAGTACGTAGTGAGTCACTGGAATGACATCCGTACAGCATACGTCCCGATAGTTATCCCATACCTGTACGTATGTACATCGGTTCGAGTTTCCATACCCGACTAGCATAGAGACGTCAAGCTGAAACTCAGAATAATATAGGCAGTAGTAATAGGAAAGATTAGGCATCGAGGATACGACTACAGGAAATAAAAATTAGCGAAAAAAAGATGTTATGAGGAATTCAAAACCTCAGGATTTGGGGAAAGATAAGGAGCGGATGCGCCTGAGTCATGTCATTCAAAGTCTCTAACCAGTGGTTATGATAATCACACGGAACCCATCCAGGTAGTCTATACCAATTGTCTACTTTTACCTATCGCTACTGCCTTTCCCACTTCTCACGCTGTCGCTACCCACAACTGCTCACGATCATTACGTAGACAGTCAGCTACAACGTAGGACCAGGCACATATGTGCATCGGTCCAGGTTGCCATACCGCATCAACACAAGATGAACACCGGATTCATAACAGTGGTTAGGTAAAAGGTGGTAATATATAAGAGGAAGATTGCATATAGAGATATAGTACAAGAAGAAAGAATTGGTTCGTAGAAAGAAAGATATGAAGCGATTTTAATCTCATAGTTTAAGGGAAGACAGGGAGTGTATACACCGACGCCATTGTGATCGATTCTGAGCCATGTCACCAAGAGTCTCCAACCATTGGTTACGATAGTCACGCGGACCCCAACCAAGTAGTCTGCATCTACCAACATGGCTCAGACTAGAAGTTAGTGACTTCAAGCACTGATGCCATGTTTCGGTTCGGCAGCCCCTTACTTTATTCCAACCATCTCCAACACCGGTTAGCACTGCTCGTCGACCCGACCGAAGCTGCTACCTTGACGCGGTGGTTGGGCTTGCCTATTGTGATGACCCAACCGAGCTACATTGGCTGGAACATATGTTCTTGTAGGTTCTACCATGCCAGGCAGGTCGATTGGAGAACGGTAAGACTAAAAGCAGCAACTCAAGGTCTGAGGGCGAAGTCGTACTGCTGACTGTAGTGGATTGTGACAGCAGTAAGGTGTTTCCCTCGGACAACCAGCATCTGCAGCGATGCTGCCTTCCCACACGGAGGGCTGCGGTTAGAAAAGTTCGACCCTAAAAATGTCACACCTCACGTTGCCCCACGGGCTTCCGTCTCCGGCGGTAAGGCCCTTTGAAGGACGGAGCTAACACATTAAAAACCTTCCACGAAAATACCGTGCGCGACCGGCCGCAAGCAGTTGTCCCTTGGGCTCTGCGGTCACGCTCCCAGGTCGTTAAGACCAACACTAATCCGACTTCGTCTTCAGGTTCCTCAAGAAAATACCCTTCCACGGTGTGGGCAGCCGGGAAGAGACATCAGCCCTCATGCCCGTAACAGCACACGAGACCAAGTTGGTCACATTCAAATCCTTCCTACACCTCCTAACACCTCTCTTATTTCCATGACTAGCCCTCCTCACGTCTCTTTATCATCTCGCACCGCTAGGGTAAACGATTCGAGTACGTGGAACGCTATTCCTGGTCTCCTGAAACCACGCTCTAAACTACACGTAGGAGCTTTTAACGTCCGAACACTGTGCCAAATAGGACAGCAGGCTTCCTTAGCTAGGACTTTAGAATCCCGCGTCATCGATGTGTGCCGCGTCTCCGAAACGCGCATACAGGATCCGAGTAGCGTCATTCATCTGACCTCACCATGCCAAAATAAAGAACCGACTCGATTCACACTTCGTGTATCTGGAAGCCGTGATTCTGCTTCCCGTGGCCTCGCCGGCGTAGGTATTGCATTGAGTCCCAGAGCAGAATTAGCTCTCTTAGAGTGGATCCCAGTAGACAGCCGTTTGTGCGCTGTCCGACTAAACGGAACAGTAAGAATCCGGAAAGATAGGGACACCCGTCGTTGCCTCTTCGTCGTTTCTGCCTATTCTCCCACTGACTGCAGCGCAGATGATGTAAAAGATGAGTTTTACAGAAAGCTTTCCGACCTTCTCCGAAAAGCTAGGCGCTCGGATGTAGTAATAATGGCCGGTGACTTTAATGCTCAAGTAGGTAAACTAAGCGAAATGGAAAGACACCTAGGTGGATCTTATGGTGTCGTGGCTCAAAGAACAGATAATGGCGACCGTCTGTTGCAGCTTTGCTCAGATAATGGCCTGTTCTTTGCAAATACTAACTTTAAGTATAAGGAAAAACATCTTTTGACATGGCGACCCCTAATTCGTCCCAACGCTGGACCCAACTAGATCACATCGCTATCAGCCACCGACGGATGGGCTCGATAGAAGACTATCGCTCATTCTGGAGCACATGCTTAGACTCAGATCATGCTTTAGTGCTAGCGCGTATTTGCCTGCGTCTTACTGGACGTAGGAAAGACGCTGCAAGTAAACCTTTTAGGGTCCTACTTAATGATAGTCAAGCTAAGAGTATATTTCAGGAACAACTAGAAAAACAGTTAGGTAGACATGTATGTGATGCCCACCCCGAGGCAGCATGGAAACAGCAGTGATATCTGCTAGTACGGTAACCCGTAAGGTTAGGGAACGACACTGGATCTCAGCAGCATCTGTCGCATTGATAGATGCTCGAAAACTCATTCCACCTGGCTCTGAACATAATGAAGAACGGACTCAGCTTAAGCGCAAGCTGACAAGAAGTCTACGTAATGATCGTGAACAGTGGTGGATAGCAAAAGCAAGAGAGATGGAAAAGGCAGCGGCAATAGGTAATAGCAGACAATTGTTCAGACTTGTTAAGGGAACTGGTATTAGGAAACCGACTGTTAGCGAAACATTCTCAGAGAAAGATGGACATATTATACATTGTCAATCCAGGAGATTGGATCGATGTGCAGAACACTTCAGCGATCAGTTCAACTGGCCTTCAGCCACACTTCGGTTTCCCACGATCTCCAGTCAACCTGAATGGCAAGTTAATGTAGGTCCTCCGCCTCTTTACGAAGTTGAAAAAGCCATAGGAAATCTGAAGCGAGGGAGAGCAGCAGGCCTTGACAGGTTTACTCCTGAGATTTTTAAGGATGGTGGTCCAGTATTAGCAGTGAGATTAACTGAGGTCTTAGGTAGAATTTGGGAATTGGACGTAATCCCATCTGACTGGTCTCAATCACTGATTGTGCCAGTTTTTAAGAAAGGACAAAAGTCCTCTTGTGACAATCACAGAGGAATCAGTTTGACTAATATAGTGTCTAAAATATTAGCTTCAATAATACTTCGACGCCTAAAGCTCGTGAAGAGCAAACTCGAGAAAATCAGGCCGGTTTTCGACCTGGACGTGGTTGTATAGACCAAATATTCACACTACGTCAGGTTCTAGTACACAGACACGTGTTTAGACGCCCCACAGTGGTAGTATTTCTTGACCTTAAGGCAGCATTGGACTCTGTTGACCGTAAGGTTCTATGGCAGTGTTTGTCACTGAAAGAAGTACCAAAGAAGTACATTAACCTTATTCAGGCTCTCTACTCGAACACAACTGGTAGAGTGAGAGCTTATGGCGAACTGTCATCAGAATTGATTACCTCAAGTGGTGTTCATCAGGGCTGTCCACTCTCCCCATTCTTGTTTAACTTTGTCGTTGACGTGCTTTTAAAGATGACACTTTCCTTATCTAAATTTCCAGGGGTTGAACTTCTACCAGGAGGTTCACTTGTTGACTTAGAATATGCCGATGACATAGTTTTATTTGGCGAAGACGCTGACAAAATGCAGAGTCTTCTGACAACTCTAAGCAACAATGCAAGCATGTTCGGGATGCGATTCTCCCCCTCGAAATGCAAAATGTTGCTTCGACACTCGAACTAATGATAGAGAGTGAAGTAATTGAGCGTGTCGATCGCATCACTTATCTTGGAAGTCTGATCAGCCCTTGTGGTCTGGTGTGTGACGAAATCTCAGCACGGATACAGAAGGCTCGACTAGCCTTTGCCAACTTGCGTCATTTATGGCGTAGGCGAGATATCCGTCTATCAACCAAAGGACGTGTTTACTGCGCAGCAGTTCGTTCCGTCCTGCTTTATGGAAGTGAAACATGGCCAATAAGAGTAGAGGATATTCGTAGGTTACTAGTATTTGATCGTAAATGTCTTCGAAACATTGCTCGTATATCCTGGGACCATCGAGTAAGTAATGCAGTTGTTAGGAAACGGCTACTAGGTAAGGATGGCAAATCAATTGATGAAGTAGTGAAACTTAATCAGTTGAGATGGCTGGGACACGTGTTACGTATGCCCAACCACCGACTGCCTCGACGTGCGATGTTCAGTGGTATAGGAGTAGGTTGGAAGAAAGCTAGGGGCGGCCAGACCAAAACATGGCACAAGTCCATGAAGTCACTGACAAGTGGACTGAGTCATGTTGGTAGGCGTAGACTACCTGGTTGGGGACCGCGAGATGATAGCAACCGATGGTTAGAGACCCTGAATGAAATGGCTCAAAATCGTTTGCAATGGCGCAGGTGCATCCACTCTTTGTGTTCTCCCAAATTTTGATCTGATTCCCCTTGTCTCTTTTTTTTCTCCTCCCAAATTTATTTCACTGTATTATACTCTTTAAGTAACATCTCCAAACACTAATCTTTCCGATTACTGCTTATACTCTTATTACCTCTACCACTACGGGATTTGAATCGACCACGGCATCTGTGTGCTAATGCGGTGTGGCAACTCGAACTGATATACTTACGTACGAAGTTCTACGTCGTGGTAATCGGTGTTCAGGCATACGTAACACATGGCCCAACCATCTCAGTCAATGAGGGTTTAAAACCTCATCAACTGATTTACCATCATTCCCTAATACCATGTGTCGAACCTCACTACTACTTATTCTGTGATCCCAGCAGACGCCAGCAATATTTCTTAGGCATCTGTGGTCAAATACTAGAAGCTTACGAGTATCTTCTACTCTTAATAGCCACGTTTCGCAGCCGTAAAGTAGAACAGAACGAACTGCCGCGCAGTATACTAGTCCTTTTATTGATAGACGGATATCTCGCCTCCGCCATAGGTGACCTGAGTTGGCAAAAGCCAAACGAGCTTTTCGAATCCGTGCTGAGATTTCGCCAGACACCAACCCACTACGGCTGATCAGACTTCCAAGATAAGTGAAGTTGTTGACACCTCCGACTGCTTCGCTCTCTATCCTTAGTTCAGGTGTTGACACAGGCAAGTTCTGAAGTAACAACGTGCATTTAGAGGGGGAGAAGCGCATCCCAAACATCCTGGCATTGTTGCTCGGTGCTACCAAAACACTGCATTTTATCAGCTTCTTCACCAAACAAGACTATGTCATCTGCATATTCTAAGTCGATAAGTGGACCTCCTGGAAGAAGACCAATTTCTGAAAATTCAGATGACGAGAACGTTATTCCCAGCGGTAGGCCTACAATGAAATTGAACAGAAATGGAGATAGTGAACAGCTTGCCAGACACCACTTGAAGTTGCAAAATCGCATGACAGTTTGCCATAAGCTCTGACTCGACTAGTAGTGTTCGAGTAAAGAGCCCTCACAAGATTTATGAACTTCTGAAGTACACCTTTCAATGACAGACACTGTCACAGAACCTTTCGGTCTACAGAGTCAAATGCTGTTTTTAAGTCAAGAAAGACCACCATTGTCGGACGCCGATAAGTATGCCTGTGTTCTAAAACCTGACGAATGGTGAATATGTGGTCGATGCAGCCACGATCAGGTCTGAAGCCAGCTTGATTCTCTCGTGTTTGCAATTCACGAGTCTTAGTTAGGCGTCCGATAATTATCGAGGCTAGTATTTTAGATGCTATATTAGTCAAACTAATCCCTCTATGGTTGTCACAGGATGATTTTGATCCATTCTTATATATTGAGACAATCAGTGATTGTGACCAGTCAGGTGGGATAACGTCCAACTCTGGGTTACCCTCGATTTCAGAACTACCTAAGTCAATTGATGAACTATCGATTAAATGTGTTTAAAATTTTTCTATGACAATACCGATTGTAAATATTGTATAAATACGCTTGAGTTGTGTGTTTGAGTTGACTTGTTATCTGCTGTTTGTCTGCAGAATACACTTCTACACCTTACCCAGACTTCTTGATCGAGTTAGCAGAGTTGGGGACAACGAACCAGAATAGCTATCGAGTCGCTGTGTCACTGATCCTTCGTTCGTTGAGTAAGACGCATCAGTAATAGCATTCAAGCGAATAACAAATCATAACAAATTGGCGACGGTGGTTTTTGAATTATGGACCCTGCAAAACTTGAACTGTTACTTGAGCAGCAGCTGAAATTGATGCAAATGTTGATGGAGACCAAGGTTACGCCTCCTTTACAACCAAGCACGTCTAGTTCGACCACGGCACCATCGGTTGATGGCATCGCAAATAGCATAGCTGAATTTCATTACGATCCTGATGCTAATGTTACTTTCGAGATGTGGTTTAGGCGTTATGAAGATCTATTTAAATTTGATTTCGCTAATCAAGATGATGCTTGGAAAGTGCGGCTGCTACTTCGTAAACTGGGTGCAAATGAGCTGGACAAGTATTACAATCTGATCCTGCCGTTGAACCCACGTCATCGATCATTTGAAGACACAGTTCAAACATTAGGTCAACATTTTGGTGATAATTCGTCACTGTTTAATACTCGTTATAGTTGCTTGAAGCTAACTCTGAACGAAGATGATGATTTTCTTACGCATGTAGGCGTCGTCAACCGTGAATGCGAACGCTTCCGGTGACTGAAGATCAGTTTAAAGCCCTGATATTTATTTGCAGCCTGCAGCTCCAAAAGTTTAGTGACGAACAAGACTACTAAGTCGTTTGGATCAAGAGCCGAAACTCACCCTGAGTGATATAGCTAATGAATAGCTATCGAGTCGCTGAGTCACTGATCCTTCGTTCGTTGAGTAAGACGCATCAGTAATAGCATTCAAGCGAATAACAAATCACAACACGGATAATTATCGAGGCTAGTATTTTAGATGCTATATTAGTCAAACTAATCCCTCTATGGTTGTCACAGGATGATTTTGACCCTTTCTTATATATTGGGACAATCAGTGATTGTGACCAATCAGGTGGGATTACGTCCAACTCCCAGATTTTAGCAGAAATATTAGTCAACCTAATCGCTAAAATTGGACCACTATCCTTGAAGACCTCTGGAACTAATCCATCTGGACCAGCTGCCCTTCCTCGTTTCAGATTAACTATAGCCTTTTGAACTTCAGCTAGAGTTGGGGGACCTACTTCAATGTTCCATTCACACTGTCTGGGAATGGAGGGTAGTTGTAGAGTAGCTGAACTGTTCTCTGAAATGTTCCGCCCATCGTCCTAAACGTCTGGACTGGGAGCAGATGTGAGTATCATCTTTCTTCGAAATAGTCTGACTTACACTTGACTTATTAATTCCAGTTTCTTTTATTAGTCTGTAGAGCTG